GACAAGCTTCAAAGCTTTCTGTATATGGGACGCTGGACCCGTTTTCCAGCACGTGCTGCTCCCCACCAGTAGATGGAGCCCCTCCTCAGGTGCTAGTGGTGTCTGCTCTCACCAGCACCACTAACACTGGAAGGGGGTTTTGTTAAAAAAANAGAGAGAGAGAGAGAGAGAGAGAGAGAGAGAGAGAGAGAGAGAGAGAGAGAGAGAGAGAGAGAGAGAGAGAGAGAGAGAGAGAGAGAGAAAATCGAAACAGATCCCCAAACGTGATGCCCGAACTTGACTTCTCCGTCTTCTTCTTCTTCTTCTTCTTCTACTACTACTACTGCAACTTCTGGCCCGTTGCAGCATACTTCTTTTCCAAACTTGTGCACATTCTGTGCTGCATGTGTTTCATCAGTACTGTGAGTTGTGCGATGTTTGGAGAACTCCGAGGATTTGATGTCTTCCAAATTGCTGGTGATTGATTCATTTTTCTTGCTGTCTTGCCGCTTGTCTGCTCTAAGCTCACACAATGTCTCAATTATGCTATATTCAGCAGAATCAACAGATTCATCACATGTTATGCAGGAGGGGGAAGTTGTTATTGTTCGCTGCTGTTCAATCCGCGGTTGTTTTGCTGTCGTTAAATACATCTTTGTTTTGCTGTTCAACAGGTTCGCAATCGGTTTGCTGTTGACCAGGTTCGCAACCCCACTTGCTGCCTTAACCACACAAGATCAGCAAACTACTTTGCTGATAGATGAAGCAGCAACCGGCTACTTCGTTCACCACACAACAAACCGGTTTGCTGATACCATGTTCTGCAAGCGCATGCCGACACTACCTGACAAGATCAGCAAACTGCATTGTTCATACAAGATTCAGCAACCGGTTGCGCTGGCTTCACCAGACAATATCAGCAACCGCTTTGCTGATACAAGAACCAGGGACTGGTTGCTGCCTTCACAGGAAGCTGTAACAACTTGCCGGATTCACCTGGCAAGACCGCCAAACCGGTTTTATGAGACATGGAGCAGCAATCGGATGCTGCCTCAAGGCCCTCCACCACACAACGAACAGATTGCAGATACCAGAGCCGGTTGCTTCGACCGGTATCAGCAAACCGCTTTGGTCAGACCGGTAAAGCTGTTGCTGCTGGGGATGGTGACAGCAACCGGTTGTGGTAATCCTCATACAGCGCTGCAGAACAAATCCCACCCTCACCCCCCCCTCTCCTCCCCCCCAACCAACCTCCCTCCCCCCTCGCCCCCATACGAGCCCCCCAACAGTCTACCTCCGAAAAATGAAAAACACTGCAGATATGGACAGCACAGGCAAAGCGCAAACACCAGCCACCGCCAAAAACAAAAAACAAAAAAGGGTCCAAAAATGAGTTGCCCGGGTGACCCGAGCGAGTCCGGGCAGCCCGCCTTCCAGCAGGTGCCGTGGAGCCTTCAAGACGAGGAGGCTGCTCTTACCACCTCCGCGCCTCCCGAGACTGAAGTTTGAAGAAAAAAGAACGGAAGAAAAAAGGAAAAAAAAGTGCGTGCAGCCAAATGGCACAGTGCCGAACTGCTACAGGCCACCAGGTTCCAACGGGGTATTGTGAGGTTTCCCGGCCTCGATTATCAAATAATGAAAGCACGTTTAAACCCCACTAGTAACTTTCTCGGTTCGGAAAATAGCGGGCCTCCGGCCGCCGACTACATTTATCAATGGCAGCCGTCCTCGGGCCCAGCCTCCAAATTCTTCGGGAGCTCGCGTTTTCCCTCATTTCTGAAGCGGCAAAGGTACTAAAAAAAAACAAAAAAAAAAGAAAAAAAGAAAGAAAGAAAGAAAGAACTGCTACATGCAGGCCAGAGTTGCCCCGGGACCAAGCAGCTCGCTCTACTACTCTCCATGCACAAAAGACAAAAAATATGGTGGTGCATCTTCCAGCCTAAAATTTATTGGGGATTGACAAATCCAGTGAGTAGTGAGAGAGCGGCCAGCCCTAAGTGCGTTGTGCAGAGCCACCTGAGGACTCCACGTGCACAAAAGACAAAAAATGGTGGCATATCTTTCCATGTTCCGGCGTGAGATTCATTCGGGATTTACCGTAGTGGTGAGAGCCCCCAAGTACATCGTGCAGAACCACCAGACGACGCCAAATACGGTCGTGTATCTTTTGCTGTTCTGCTGTACCATTCCTTCGCAATTTACCTAAGCAAAACGAAAAGGCCGCATGTACAGTTGCACAGCACCCTATGCGAAACAAAACGGCTAGACTAAGTACAGAAGTTGCCCTGCCCTGCGGGCAGAAGTTGCCCTGCCCTGCCCTGCCCTGCCCCGCCCTGCACGGAAAACAAAACTTGCCCTACCCCGCACCGAAAACAAAAGTCGCTATATACTTGTGTTTGAACATTCTGGAGAGGAAACACGCGCAGAAAATGACGAAGACGCTTGTAACGGTAACGTTTCGTTTATCGCGTCGACCTTTTTTTTTTTTTTTT